GCTCTGGGAGCTGCTGGACGAGGAGGAGACCAGGAGGACCAAGGCCATGTTTGGCATCTCCGTGGTGACAGACGCCACCCTGAAACGCTTTGGGGTGCGTTACTTCAGGGCTGCCAAGGCCCTCGTCTTCCCCTGGTTCAGCCCCCGTGATGCAAGCCTGAAGGGGCTGAAGCTGCTGAAGGCGGAGAGGAAGGAGAATGCAACAGTGTATGTGGAAGAGACTTTACCCCGCTTTGATTCCTACCACAACCTCTTCGGGCTGCCGCCGATCAGCCGCCGCGATGCTGGGTGGGAGCTGGACGCCCTGGCCCGGCACCAAGCTACAGGGGTGGCCAGCGTAGCCCTGCCGCGGGGGGCCACCTGCCTGCCCCCTGCCCTCCTCCCCTACCTGGAGCAGTTCAAGCGCATCACGCTGTGGCTGGGTGAGGACCTGCGCTCCTGGGAGGCCGCCAAGCTCTTCGCTCGCAAGCTGAGCCTCAAGCGCTGCTCCCTGGTGCGCCCCGGGAACCTGCAGCCCCGGCCCCTGGATGCTCTGAACCAGGGCCTGAACCTCACCAAGATCCTGCGTGCTGCCCTGCCTGCCAGCCACAAATCCATCGTCTCCTTCCGGCAGCTGCGCGAGGAGGTGTTTGGGGAGCTGGTGAACAGTGAGCAGGTGGCTGGTGTTAAGTGGGCGCGCTTCCCCGAGCTCAACAAGCTCCTCAAAGGGCACCGCAGAGGGGAGCTGACCATCTTCACAGGTGACAGGCAAACGGCTGGTGGGTGGGGGGAGCAGAGAGCTCTGTGCTGGCTTCGCTCTCCTGTGGGTGACTCCTCACAAGTCTTCCTGGTCCCTTTCGGCTCGTGGCTTAAGCTGAGCCCATTGCAACCATGTGTGAGAAGCTGGGGCATGTTTCCAGCTGCAGTGGGGCCAGGCAGGAGGATGGACTCCATGCCTGGGGCGGTGCGGGAGCTCCTGGACATCCCTTTTCCCTGCTCCCATCTGCTGCCTTCTGTCTGAGCCTTCTCTGTGCCCTCTGCTGGCTGCCCAAGCCCTTCCCTGCAGGGACCCGCTGGCTGCTGGCGATGACACGTGTGTGCCTGACACGCAGCCGCGTGTGAGACACAGCTTGTTTACAGTGGAAGTGCTGCGGATGGGCCACTGAGTCCACTCCCCAGCGCTTCCACCTCTAAACAACCCCTTTGTGCATTCAGGACAGGTCACATCTTCCCCTCCAGCTAATTCCTTCCGTTGTTGTCCTTGCACCAGGCCCGACGGGCAGCGGGAAGACGACCTTCATCAGCGAGTACGCCCTGGACCTGTGCATGCAGGGGGTGTGCACGCTTTGGGGCAGCTTTGAGATCAACAACGTCCGCCTGGCCAAGATCATGCTGACACAGTTTGCCACCCAGCGCCTGGAGGACCGGCTGGAGCTGTACGACGAGTGGGCTGACCGCTTCGAGGACCTCCCGCTCTACTTCATGACCTTCCACGGCCAGCAGAACATCAAGTATGGTCCCATACCGGTGGTGTTTACCTCTCCACAGCATGTGCTGCGGGGGCCCTGGGAAGGTGGGGCTCTTCTCCCACAGTGGGTTGTGGATTTGGGGCTAGCAGGAGGCATGTTGGGGCTGGCATTGGCATGTGGGGACTGAGTGGCTCAACCTGCTGTTGTGGGGACCATGACAGCCTCCTCCTGGGGTGGGGATGAAGGGAGGGGACTTTGACCCTGTGCTGGCTGGCTGCTCTAAAACCAGCCTCTCTCCCTGGCAGGATGGATGCCTCCTTACCCTGCTCACCTGGTAGTGCTGCTCTTTGCTGAGAAGGTAGACAGGCACCTCCAGCTCTCTCCTATGTCCTAAATGTCCCTGTGGGGTGGTGGGCAGGGACTGTGTGGGCAGCAGCTGAGTCCTCCTGATCCAGCTGCCCTTACCAGTGGGGATGAGGCTGCCCCTGTCCTGCAGTGGAGGAGATGTAGAGGTGGGACATTCCAAGGGCCCAACCTGCTGTCTCCCTACTATGCCTCTCCCCTGTCACTGTGCGCCATCCTCACCTCTGCTCATCCCTGTGCCTGACCCTGGGTTCCCTCTGCCCAGGATGGTGATTGACACCATGCAGCATGCAGTCTACATGTATGACATCACCCACGTGGTCGTTGACAACCTCCAGTTCATGATGGGACATGAGCATCTAACTGGGGACAGGTATCTCTTCTCCTTCCTCTGCCACCCTCCTCTCTGGCACTGGCCCTGCAGCTGTCATGGCAGGGGCTGGGGACCTGCACAGGTGTCTCTTTAGATCTGATCCCCTTCTTGCTGCCCACGACAGGCTTGCTGCCCAGGACTACATCATTGGTGCCTTCCGCAAGTTTGCCACGGACAACACCTGCCACATCACACTGGTCATCCATCCTCGCAAGGAGGATGATGAGAAGGAGCTGCAGACAGCTTCCATCTTTGGCTCTGCTAAGGTGAGCTGGGCTGAGATGGCTTGTTCTGTCCCTTGGGTACAGCGTGTTCTTGGGAAGGGACTGGAATACCTCAGGCAGCTGTCCCCAGCTCCCACTAACACCTCAGATTATCACTGGGAACCTAAAAGGTGATATGAAGGGCAGGATGTCCCCAGGACTCCTGTCACTTACTGAAGAGGTGTGGAATCCTGCAGGCCAGGTGTTGGCAGGGAGATGTAGACAGAGCAAACCTATTGCTAGCTAATGCTCTGTTGGGACTTTAGGTGCAGTTAATTAATACTCACTGACTGTGAGGGGGAAGTGCTGTGAGATAATTAAAGGAGGAGACAGGGAGAGCACAGGGATGGGCTCTCTGGAGCTGGGCAGGCAGCCTGTGATCACCTCCAAGCCCTGTGACTCTGGCTGCGTCCTCTGCACCTTCCTGGAGATGTTTTTCTTCCCACAGGCTAGCCAGGAGGCCGACAATGTCCTCATCCTGCAGGATCGTAAGCTGGTGACGGGGCCAGGGAGGAGGTACCTGCAGGTGTCCAAGAACCGCTTTGACGGGGATGTGGGCGTCTTCCCCCTGGAGTTCAGCAAGGCCTCGCTCACCTTCTCGTCCTCCAGCAAAAACAAGGTCAAGGTGAAGAAAACGAAAGAGGAGAAGGCACCGTCAACCAAGAAAGCTCCAGAGGGAGGCTCAGGAGCCTCCAAGAAGCCATGAGCCCGGCGGGTCTCTTCCTTTATCCTTCAGGAGGGAGGGGGACTGGTGCTGGGAGCATGGGGCTGGGATACACCAGCCCCCCTCCCCTGGGAGCAGTGGCCATGTGCCACTGTGGCCCCCCTTCTCCTGCAGAAGCAAACCTTGTGGCCACCAGCACAGTGTCTGTTGAGATACAGGGCTATTGTGAGAAGAGGAGTGAGCTCCTCTCAGAGAAGAGTGGCCAGAGGAGTGTGCTAGACTCTCCATCCTGGTGCCGAGTGCTGGAAGCAAGGGAGAAGTGGAGTCAACATAAGCTGGGAGATGGAGGCAGTGACCTGCACCCTGGGACCTTCTCTGGGCATGGGGCAGGTTATGAAATTGTGGCTAAAATGAAGCCGAGTTCCTGGACTGTCACTGATGGGAGAGACTGTTGATGGGGACTGTGGAGGAGGGACACATGGTGGGTGAGGGTCTCTGGGGTGGACCCAGCAAAGGAAAGGTGTGGAGGAAAGTGTGGGAGTTCGTGCAAGGCTCTTGCCTCAGATCTGCGTGCTCTCTGTGGGACATGGGGGGTGGGAGCTGGACCCCTATGGTGGAAACTGTCAGTTGAAGGCAGCACTAGCCTCAGGGGTCGTCCCTGGCCCGTTTCTCTGGGGACATCACCAGCAGCCTGGCCTTGCTCTGATGGGCTGGGGGGTGGCCATCCGCCTGCCCTATGGGCTGCAGGCAGCAAATACTGTGACCTGGCCAGTCCTTGCCGTGGTGGGATGTGTCCACGGCCAGGTCTTGGTCTGATCCTTTTTTCCCCCTTTCTTAGTTTTATTAAAGCATAAAGGTGAATCCTGTCCCTGTGCTGCTGTCCCTGTGACTGGAGGTCCCCAAGGCTGGCACTGCATCCCTGCACCCCAATCCCAGCATCATTCCCAGCCTTCACGCCAGGAATAGTTTTAACCTGAGCCATAATGAGGGGCTGGGCAGGCAGTGCACACCCAGCCTGGGTTTCCGGGGTGCACCACCTCTCCTGGGGAGCACCTATGGGTGCTGCTGTCAGACCCCTGCAGGCAGGTGATGGCAGAGGAGGGTCCTAAGGAAGCAGAGGTAAGGTGGGAAGAGCCAGGGCTCCTGGTGAAGGGGAGGCTGTGGGTGTGTCCCCTTGGCCTGAGGATCCCCAGATTGCCCCCCTCTTTCTCCCTGGAGCAGCCCACGGATGGGGCTGTGGCGTGGAAGGCCATGGGGCTGGATGGAATGCTCAGGATCCCCATCTCCTACCCATAGCTCCTTGGGTGCTGGGAGGGGGTGATGGAGCCGAGCCTTGGGGGCGAGGAGGGGAGCTTTGGGGGGTTCCAGCCCCCTGTGGGACAGAGGGGCACCCGCAGGCTGCCGGGGGGCTGAGAAGGGGTTATTGTTTTGTCCCTTTCCCCAAAGTTTGGGGCTCTTAGAGAGCTGGGGAGGTGGCAATAGCTGAAACACCTCCTGGAGGGATGTGGGGGGGCTGTAATGTCAAGCGGGGCAGAGGGCCCCCCCCCCCCCCAGCCCTCTTGGGGGGGGGGGCGGGCGCCCCAAAAAAAAAAGGG